CGAATACCACGCTTGAGCGGGAAATTCGACTTTGAACTTAGTCCGTCGCCTAAAGTTATCAAAAGTTCTGTTTTGAAATTAAAAGTTAATTGAATGGTATTTGTTTTCTACTTATTTTTGAAAGGTTCGGTATAATATACCATTTATAGACCTTTCATTCGGGGTATTCCACAAAAAATTACCCTGCGGGATGAAATATTCCTCGGGCTTCGCCCTCGGAATATTTCATCCCTCAGGGTAATTTTTTGTGGAATACCCCTCGTTTCAGGTCTATAACTGATAAATATACATGCATATACGGTATGTCAAATTCATAATTTTCACGTATGAAATTTGAGTTTCACATATGAAAGAAGGTCGCCCCGCGTACCTATATGAACAGGCTTTGTGATTGGTTGATTATTAATAAACTGTAGAAATCATATTTCTAAAGAAGGATCAACATACAATGATCACCTTTGTTTCAGAAAGCCGACACACAAAACGTGTTCATATTTGTAGGCCGAAGCAGTAATTAAATAATTTGGTTTTTCAACAGTTTATTTTGATTTAAATATATTTGCAGCTTCATTTTCATAACGTACCAAATGTCAAGTGGCGTGAGAGGCGACCACGAGTGGGTTGGTGAATTTTTAAAAATGTGACAATACCGAATGATTGTTATGATAACATTTTAATTGGTATTTTCTTGAAATATTAATTTATAATGTCTATTTGCTGCACTCATGCACTCATAAATAATGCCAACTTTCGAGAGCGAATTCTTCCGCGGGAAGTATACTAATTTGTTTATTACTATTCTAGTATTGTAGAACTACTAGAACCAGTCGTACATGAATGATTAATGTTTTAATTTTTGTACGTGTTGTCTTTGTGAATAATATAACATTAAGGAATAGTGGAATACAGAATAATTGTTTTAATGATCCAAAAAATAAAGTGCAGGGACTGGTTGCATAAAAACGGTATTGTTAAAGTTAACTACCATCAGTACGAATGTTAACCATTCGATGCATTCAAAAATTTTAGACTTAACTGCTATTTAATTAACTACAAAATAATGGTTACAAAGTATTTTCTACAGCTGGGCCGAACTGGCCCAGGTAAAAGCAAAATAATCATGTGTATACATATATGTTTACATGAATACTTATATTTTACATAAATTATATAATTTATGCATGTACATAAATTGCGTGCATTCTTCCCCATCATGGGAAAATGTTACAGTCATCGTTGTTCGCATTGATCCTTTAAGTTTTTATTCTATGTATTTTAAACCTAGCAGTGAGCTGCCTATTTATATACATATTATATACAGTATTCTACCTGTACAATCTGTAAGGTCTACTGTTAATCTCTGTCCCAAAATTCAAAACAATGAAGCGTATTATATAACCGCCCTAAATACAACTAAGTATATACAATTGATGGTAATTCATTAAATGAATCTCTATCTTCTAAAACAGGCATGAATATCAGGACAATTTTAAATATCCCAAATGTCTATACTTGTCCATGGCCGACAAATAAGAGTTGAATAATTTTGTGAAACGTTTAGTAGACACAAGTTTGCCCTTCAGCTTGGTACGTTTCCCATGAAGGTTGAAAGCAACTTGCATTGTTTAAATAACGTGTAGGTACGCCATGTTGATAATATTCTTTATTGTGATATTCAGGTGGTAATGTTAGCATTGTTTGTGAGTGATTAAGTAATGGTTGGGCACTGCGACATTCTGGTTTGATGTACGGTTTTTGAGAATCTGGAAATGCCATACCAAACAAAGCTTCTGGGCTACACACAAATTTGTAGACATATCGTTCCCCAGCCACTTTCTGCATGATTCCTTTTTCATAGTAGTAACGTAAAGAACGACTTAGTTTGTCGTAGTTCATGGCAGGTCTGTTCTTTTGAATGCCCCACCTTCGGGCTACCTCTTCTGGATCAATAAGTTTGAATTCCATGCCTCGTCCCGTCCAGGAAATATATTGTGAACAATCTGGTTCCTCGAGAAGAATGACTAGGAACTGCCATAACTGTAGAGAACCACGTCTTTGAAATGGACGAGGTTCTGGATAGGTCAGTTCTGGAGGAAGATATTTGAATTCGTGTGCTGCATGGCCTGAAAATAGAACAAAATGAATTGCCATAACTACATAAGAACTGCGTCTTTGCAAACTCCGCACTCATTTCTGTTTATCACTCTGCTGGACATATACTAACATGTCACAAATAGATTGCTGCAACTGAGGAGTCTTAGGCCTGTTTCACACTAGCGATTCTGTCGGCGATTCCTGACGGATGCGAATGAGCGAACTCGCACCTAAACGTATAGAATCGATTTTTGGAAGTATACATTTTTAAGACTTTTCCATGTCACTCATTCAATCACATCCGCAAGGAGGAGGAAAATTGTTGACAAAATTGGTAGACATTGACAAAATTGGGAAGTATGAGCTTATAACCATTGCACCATTTTCAATTGGTTATGCAGTATTTTCTAGTTCCAGTCCTCCCAGAGGGCAAAGCTTCACTAGCCCGCCAAATTGCTCCCTATATTAAAGGACATGCAGGTACGATGCTGAACACTGGTTTTGCCTCCAGGGAGGACTCCATCAGCAAAATGTTGTAATACATGATACATCGCACTGGCTTGAAGAATAGAAGATGAATTATCTACATGGAGGAAATGCTACCTATGAATTTAAGTAGTTTCGAACGAGTAAAACAGAGCTTTAACCTTCAGAGTAATTTTGATCAGCTCCGCTAGAAAACCTACCAGTCATGGCTTGAAATGCTAGCGTATATAAGAGACGTGAAAATTAATATGTACTTTGTCGTTGTCAACAGAGCTTGGACGACGTCTAATTTCTGATTTTTTGGGCTGTAGGATTGATGTCATTGTATATCAAGCCGTCGTCCTGACGTCGCTGTCTTATACATGCTATACATCTCCCTGTTTTCATTGGGCAACTTCATCAGTTCTAAACCTTTCCCCTTTCGGATCCTGTAAGTCCCCCCCCCCCTAAGTCCAGTGATCATGGAACTACCATATAACGATTAAAATAGCTCTACAACGTACTGAACTTTACTGAAACTTACGTTCATTATACTCCATGTATTCACGTTGACAACGCTCGAAGTAACATGACATGGAATCTTCGTAAAATGAGCTTGATTTAGTTTCATATCCACAATTTCCTAAGAAAGAATAGGTGCAGACATGTTGAGAATACGTCGTCAATTGTGCGGAAAGGAAGAATACAGGTGAGGGGTTTCGGTGGTGCATTTATCAGAACAAGAGAATTTCGCCTCTGAGATCGTAACGCGTGCACAACATGCACGTGAAAAGAGTCAATCAACGCTCTACTGAAAACCATGGATTTTCTCCAGGTACTCCCACAGAGAATGTTGGGTTGGATAAGGGGAAGGTTGGGATAAGCTCTTAGCTAACTGACTCTTTCACTTTTTATAGGTATAACCCTCCGCCTTAGAAAGCCTTCGGCTCGATCAGGTTCAACTGCGTCCTTCGCAATTCAGCTCAGCTGCAAGTGCTGAGCGCACTCCCACTTACTTACCACTTCTAGTTTACTGGGAACAGATTAAATCATTTACCGTCAGGTAACAATCAATTTTTAATGACAAAACCTGTGTTCAAGTCTGTGGTTTATGAGTTTGACATATGGCTTAAACCTTGTTACTAAGTAGTTTTGGGATTAATTGTGATAGCTATATATATATATATATATATATTACATGGAGTAGTTTAATATAAAAATAAATGTATGTTTATACATAGAAGCTAGACGTTGCGGACTTGGCGGAGAAACGTCGTCACATGCTGTACTATACTACATGTATATATAGACATGCATTTTTTGTTACATTTGTATATGAAGTATACAAATGCTTTGTTTATGCGTGAGGGCTGTAGCCTGTATTATAATGGCAAAGATTAATGGCATGGCGCTTCCTTATACTAAACCTCCAGATAGAACCATCATAAATTAAGTTTAGTTGGAATTTTTATATGCATGTACACCCTTAAACTACACTATATACATGCCCAATGATAACACATGTAAACATAGCGATGTTATGTGGGGCTATATAGAAGTGTGGGGCAACTTAAGCCTCTCTCTATATATTTCAGAGACCGCGGAGCTTGGTGGACCGGAGGCATGCTCCCCTGAAAAGTTGCCGGAGTATAATTGAAAAACTGTCACCAACAGCAATATGCAATTCACTGAGTTTCTATATAGCGTCGACTATGTAATCTTAGTCTATAGTGTTCGTATATAGATTTTTATGTAGGCTACAATTTCATGTTGATGCATATGGATTATATACTGGGCACATGCAAGTATCATTATACCTCTTCCAATCCCATAACGTAACGGTATATTTTGCCGTTTAAAAAAGTAACTTTAAATTTAATAGTTCAATCATATTGATACTGATATTGATGTATATATATATATATATACACTCATATATCCCACGTATTCCAACTGAGCTATATAGTTCATTGCACAGTATGAATTCAATTTGATCAGAGATATAGTTGAGATGTAAGAATAGACTTGATACTCACATCACAGTTTGACGAACTTTTTAATCTCAGTCAAAGTTTACTAAAAGTGAAAAACCGTCTGCCACTACAGGGGATATACTTTTACACCAGGCAATTAACACAAGCACTTGTCAAAACAAAATTATACTAACCAATATTGCTGACTGACCGCTGTATTTGTATTAATGAAAATCTGAAGTTTCAAGTTATAAAACTCTCATACTTAATAAAAAAAACTAATGAGTTTCAATGATGTAAGAAAATTAAGTAAAGAGTCAAACGCCTTTAGTGTGAAAACATTTAAAAATCTAAATGAAGTTGCAATATATTTCTAAGCCATTTAAATTATGTTTCAAAGCAATAAAAATGATAAATTTTCTACAGTGCCTTTATGAATGTATGAATGTACGTTTTTTTTACGTGGAAGATAGTCGCGACATCAATCATTTTTTTTTTAATATGCTTTCCTTCGTGTCAGATTGAGACTAATATCAGTCTTGAATGTTATAATGAACTGTTCATCATTTTCTTAAGATGACGTTTTTGTAAGCGAAATAATGGCTTGCTAGCTTATTTTCATTTATTTTTGTGCGAAAAAGTACTGTTTTGCACATTTAATTACTAATAGAGTTTGAGGAAGAAAAAATGAAAAGTTCAACTTAGAAAAACATCTGTCGCGTCAGTGTGAACGAACAGTAATTATATTAAATCATAGCGCGATGTCTTCATGCAATTAAAGTTTATTTTGCTTTCCTATCTCGGCTTTAATCATTGGTTAATATTCAAAATGTGTCATGCTTTTGTTTCGTATGGAAAACATCATAAAATTAGATGAGAGTTGAGCCACCTGAAGCCCTCCAACTGAAAAGCAATGTAAACATTTGAAATTTAACACTCCCGTGTTGTGCGGAGCATTGTTCAATGTTTTACCTGCTGAGACTGGGGAACTCGAGTAGGTCCTCTGTGGGGAGAAACTGCTCGCCACTGACTCATGATGCCTCTCTAAATAAAAACAGGAAACAATTGTAATTTTTAAACATAATTCACTTTGTCATTGAAAAATATAATTATAACTTTTGGGAGAAGAAAACTAAACAGCAAATTATACTGCAGCAAGCATTTTTGGTTCACAAAGCACACGTTTTTCACTCATTTTCATATACCCACGCAAACCAATTCCATCTCAACTATCATCATGTGCTCTCCTCAAAGAATCGATCTCTTTTCCTTTCAATTCTCTAATAAAATATCACCTTTCCAGTAAAAATAAAGTATAGTTTTCATGGATTTTGACATGGAACCTAATTCGTATATAGTGCATGCATGATTGTTTTTGCGCAAGTATTTCTCTGATCACCAACAGTTCTTCTCGGTAGATATCACAGTTTATATATATACAAGTTTGTACACAAAATTTAACACAGAGCCTCTAATTCAATCATTTTAAGATCATTTTCCGAAAACAAACATGATTAAGAGACGTATACAATTAACGGTACATGAATAGTTGAAAGTTTTAGAAATATTTATACGATTTCAATAGCGAAAGTGAACAATTGCACGCGCTATATAGCTAGTTGTATAGCTAGTTGTATAGCTAGTTGTATCCTTTTTTGCGCCATTTGTTGCGTCCATGCAAAGTGAACGCCGTTTGAAAAAACGTACCGTTTGTATGAAATTATAACCTGTTTCAAAGACGTATATCTATAAGCACAACATTTCTCTACGAGAGTCTTTCCGTGCAATATGTTAAAGATGCGAAATCGCTTTAAAGTATATGCTAGCTGACGCGTTATGACGCCACTTTAAGACGCAAAGTTAGAAGACTATAGATTTTCTCTTACCTCGAAAAAGATCGCAATGTGTAAGTTTCTCATGCGATTCCACTTTAATTTCTCTGCTGTAAGGACTTGGAGGTTCATTTGAAACTCTGTTATAATTCATCATTCTTGGCTCGTAGCAAGCTGTAGTTCTACTAGTTTGATCCGTGCAGTGATCACTGACTGATTTCATTGTATGACTGTTGGAAGAATAATAGTCCAAATATGATGCAGTATTCATATCGAACGTCTTAGTTGGTTTAGTGCAACACTGCTGCGACGCCCTGCTTTCCAATTTAATCTTCTGACTTGACCAACTTCCTATTTATACAACAGAGAATGCTTAATTTAGTTAAAACAATAGGGAACAAAACGTTTTTTGTAATCTTAACTAAGTACCGCTATGAATGGCTAAATACATGCTGACGTTAATGGCATCTTAATGGATCAACTTTATGTGAATATATTAAATGGCAGACGTTAGGCGCGTCTTGAAATTGCCATCACTGATAACATGTATGCACGTATATATCATGTATACCAGTGTTATTTTTGGGGTTAGGATATATAGATTTCAATCACGTTTTTGGTCGTGATATAATGACGTAAACAGTACTACGAACCTTCAGGCGATTAGATTGTGGACTTTTAGCTCGTGCCTCGAAAATAGTTTTTCATTGATAGGCTGCAGGCAAGCAAGGTACTAGAAAACTTGACTGCACACCAGATTGATCTTGGAATATCTGCATGTAATATGGTCATTTTTAACAATGGAAATTCCTTTCCAAGCTTGCATAACGCAAGTATCGAGTAACTCCAGAATTCACTCGCCAACACGCTATATATACTTCCTAATTCTATTTTTACATTTCATGCCTTTTTTGACATTTAAGTACGAGTGCAAGATATCTTACGTACAATTAAAGGACAAAAATTATCGTAATGATTTATTTTGACCTTACGTACGTTTGAGTTTAATTCTGGTTTAAAACGCCTATTAAGTTTTATCTTATTTCCTTACACCCATTCTTGGCCTTTCCTAACACTCATTCATTTATTTATTTATTCATATTTTTTTTTATTTTAACTTTATATCAACTTTCTTATTTATTTATTTTAACTTTCATTTATTTATTTTAACTTTCATTTATTTATTTTAACTTTATTTTAACTCATTCAGTATACAGATCAGTGATTCTTGCACATACAAATATATTGGAGGAGGAGAGTTTGTGACGGCATGACGGAAAGACGAGAAACACCAGGGAATCCAAGTGCTCAGTTGATGCAGTGACGTCACACCGAACTTCTGAACCTAACCCTGACTCTAACCCAAACCCGAACTTTTCTGACGAACCTTCGGTGTGACGTCACTCCATCAATTAAGTGCAGAATGTTTTTCCCGTTATAAAATGTTCATATTCTTCCGTGCTCAGGCGAGATGAGAGTTACGATACTTTGCACGTATTACTGATCATAAACTAAGCATAACAGCCAATAAATCAACAAAATTGCATTGTATAAATTAGAATATGTTCAAATTGTACTATTATTGTACTATTATTGTACTATTTCCACTAAAACGCACCGCCCCCATAAGGCAAAGCATCGTCATTAAATCTTGCTCGGCCATTTAGGCTTGCAATGTAAATTGAGTTATTTCAAGTGAGCCAAAATAAAGACGTACTACTATCTTTATTGTACAATATTTAGATTTGTACAATGAGCCAACGTTATGTGAATCAAATCAAACTTGATCTAACCACATGCGGGCAACATTATGTCGATGAATTTTGGATGAATGAATGACATTTTTTTATTAATCATCAAAATATTATTTAATTTCTTTATATTTTAATCTCTTTAACAAAAAATGTTGTTATTTTTACTTGTTTTGTTATTAATTTACCCATACTTATTAGACTCAGTCTTAAGCCAAGGAATATTTTAAATCTGTGAAGAGTATATCATTTCAAATTGTTGGATGTCTATAAGATCTTAATCGTTTGAGTACTATGTTGTGCAAAGTTTGTTTCTCTTGGCTGCGGACCTCGGCCATGCAGCCATTTGGTATTGTCTGCACTGTGCAGCCTCTCATGGAGTGCTGTGACGACTGCTGGTGTTTATAGTCTATAGTGCACGTGAGAGTGCAGATCGCAGGTTCAAAAAGTTTGGCATGTAAACTCTTTGGGTGTTGCTTGGTTTAGAAAATTTCATATGTATGGTCTGAGGAGTCAAGGACGGCATGTAGAGTTATGCATGCGCCATGTAGCCTGCGTGGCAGGCCCTCAATTTTATGGGGAGCCTGAGTTGCAGCGGGCAGGATTTTGGCGGGAACGGGGGAGGATTATGTATGATGATACGCGAAGTGCGCAATCCTGGTGTACGTAAAAATGACCCAACATCGTCAACATTAATTTCAATGATGCACACGATAAATTCGAGGGAATGAAAGAAAAATGATCATGCAATAACAAGGACAAGAAGGCCAGGCTTCACCATATTTCACACATAAATTTACATCGATTTTTAAAGAATTGTCAATTTCACAACAGTCACAATAGTCAGGGACGTACATCTGAAGTTCGGGGGTAGGGGGTATTGTAAGATTTTACCTGAAATTTGAACTTCAACGTTAAAAATTTACCAAAGTGTAATAATTATAATAGAGCTTTTTCTGATTAATTTTTTTACATTTTTGAAGCTGCAGGACTGCATTTCTGGCGTTTTCTAAAGCAAATTCGCAAACGAATTGGATCTAAATTGACTGTATTTTACAAAATGGTTATCATTTCACAAAAATAACGACTTTATTATACAAATTTTACCTGAAAATGTCAAAATTTAAACTTGAATTTTACGTGATTTTTACCTAAGTTCCACAGTTTATATATATATATATATATATATATATATATATATATATATATATATATATATATATATATATATATATATATATATATATATATATATATATATATATATATATATATATATATACCATAATTATAAACAACAAAAGTTAATATATACTCCAGCACTCCTACTCCGCAGCAATTTCTATAAATGCGTTTGATGACGCTCATTGCATATTGTGGCATGCAGAGCATCCAGCATGAGTTACTCCTTCAGGATAAAAGTTGGCGCCAAAATATTAATATATCAAACCGCTAAACATTCAACGGTTATCATCTTTCATGACGTGATTTTAATCTATATATACTACAGCATAACATGTACAAACAGATATTTCAGAATAGAATATGTATAAATAATTGCAATAACTGTATGTAGCTATATTGCTTGTATAATATTAACTATTCTATATACTATATATTATATACTATACATCCGATGTACTTATTATATACTGATATATTGTGTTTTATAAACTATACAATAAATATGGGTGGGTATATTAACTAAAGACTGATGTATTCATGTGTCCTTGGGCATTTTTCACGAAAACAAAAACGTATATGCATGAATGCACTCCTTTTGCATGCATGAAGCCAACGCTCTATATATAAAGCTTCAACATATTTCCAAGGACATTTTGTTGAATTAATTAACGATAGTACTATGTAATGAAAACAAAAAATGAGTCAAATTGCTGCTATTCAAAAAAGCAAGAATTATTACTAATGAGTAATGTGTAAATGCTATGAAAGAAAATAAAATATTTGGTTTACCTTGTCTTTGACCGTGCTCATGAAAGATTGTATTATTACACAAGGAAGGTTCCCAAGGCTGTTCGTTCGTCATCGCTGTAGAGCGAACTGTAAGAAGAAAATTGAGTTTCTTTATGAATAAAGTTGTCTTTATTTTACCTTATATATTACGTAACCTGTAAGGCACTTGACAAAAAGTGTTGCTAAAAACGTGCGAAATGCACGCACTATAGTCGGTGAGTATAGTATTTACGTAATATGTATAAGATACCTTCATTCATCCATTGTTCTTGCATTTGGGACAAGTCTTGGAATAGTTCTTTAAAAAGAAATTTTATTAGAACCATATATAGAATGTTAATCTATACCAGATAATTATGATAACTTTTCACAGATCATAATAGTCTTTACCTAAACAATCCGTTGTTAAAGCAGTGGAGGTCGCTTCTGCTCCCGTCTTCTCTTGTTTTATTTCCTGCATGGAACGACCAAAGGCTAGCTCCTGGAACAACAAACGATATTTGAAATCATTCTGAACATTTAAGAATCAAAAATTGTATTTTATTCACATACCTTTAAACTTCGAAATGGAAAGTTTTCAAACGATGTGTCTGGGATCATTTTATATGAATATATGAGTGCCACCGTTCAACACATGATATTGTAAAAATATTGAACGTAATAATTTGACGCTAAACGTGAATGAGTGGCGTGAAATCTGCCTTCATAAACACACGCGCACACGAAGTTTGCCATTTATTTGATGTCATCACTCTTAATTTATTTTGAAATATTCTGCCATCTTACATTAATTGTTCCCACTCTCACTTGGCAAACACTATATTGCTTTGTTGGCAAGCAAATGAAGCAGTACTATAGTTTACTTAGAAAACAGTCTCTACTATATATTTTATTACCAGCATCGACAAAAGGGATTAAAGATTTTCATCATTTCACGATCTTTAGTCTGACAGGCTCGTAAGAAAGAATGGCGTACTCGATCACTTGACTAATTACATGTATTTTGCTGGCTAATCATTGGTCAATCAACTTCTATGTTTTAAATTATTTTTGACACACTGTGGGAAGTGCGTGGCGCGTGCCAAACGTTGCTCTTTTAAAAAAACTAACACACATCTTGTGTTTTTTAGTTCTCGTGCTAATGTTGTTAAATACGCTTATTTGTTAAGGAATAAGTTGTGCGTACGGTAAACTTTGAAAATTTCTGCTTAATCGAATCTGCGCTAAGTGCTCATATCAATTTCGTCTTGTATGACAAACAGTTCAACAGAAATCATTATGCATTGTCATTACCGAAATATAATACAACTTTAAAATTCAAAATTTCGTAAGTCTGTAAAATTTAACTTGGAAAATACTGTAAAATTGACGACATTTTCATTTTAATACCGTTTATGTGATTTGTAGTTCTTATACAGATTAAATCATTTGACAACAGCGAGTGGCAGGTGCTTTGAAAGATATCTCTCTCGCCTCTCTTCTATTATGTGAATAAAACCGAAAATGCCAGCAACATTATCGTTATCTATACTATTAAGATTTCTTGATCGCACTAATAAAGAAAATCTAAGTCTTACACGCATGCGGACTAAGTAGTTAACGCTTACATATAGGATAAAACGAAGATTTAAAACGCAAGTTGGGATGATTTTACAATGACAATGCTCTTTGAAATTTTGATTTATTTTAAAAATTATTGCATGTGCCTTCAAATGAATCTGTTCAAGTTATAAAGAAAAAAAACTTCATCAAAATTTAGTGTGCAAGTGACTGAATGGGCATTTTGTTAATTTCATGGATTTTTAAAATAATATAATAGAATGTTATAGGATAAAGCTTGAAAGTGCGGTCATGAAGATACTCGTCATTACAGTACAGTACAGTACAGTACAGTACAGTAGATAACAGTATTCCTTTAATTTTATGTTGGACCTGTAAGTTATGGAGTCCAATTTGTATTCATATATATGGCAATACAATTTTATGGATTTTTTAAATAATATAATAGAATGTTATAGTATAAAGATTAAAAGTGTGTCATGAAGATATTTTCACTCATTATTACAGTACACGGTATATATAACAGTACTTTTTAAATTTTATGTTGGACCTGTAATCCAATTTTTATTCATAACAATAAAAAGAGCAATTGAAGATGCAGGTATAATATTTCATTTGACTTTCTCTGTTTTCACAGATTTGATTTAGCAATAAAGATTATTTTATTGTCAAATATTTTTTGTTGACAAAGACTGTGTATGCTCATGCACAGCCGTGATGCAGCTTTTTGTGTCAGCGTGATTCACTCGAGTATTATTTTCTTATGAATATTTTTATTGCAATTTTTATTTGAAATATAGACGTGTCAAGCCACAGGCTTTCCAAAGAACAAGAGAAAATAAATCTTTATTGACAGTTTATTTGGAATTCTTGTTTAGCAGGTGTTCTGGCTTATAAATGAATGAGTGATGAACGATTTTTATGTCTAAATCTTTTCAAGACATAATCCCGCTTGAAGTCATATTTCATGTGGCGGCGAGATATTAAACCTGTTGCTTGTGTTAACCATCTTTTCTTTAATAAAGCTGTCAATTTTAGCATGGATTAAACGTGTTTTACGTCAAGAGAAATGTATATTTAAATATATGATTTGTCAAAAATCTGAACTAAGTGTAAACAGTTTCAAGTTTGAATTCAATATTATGTAGCCTCGAGCTAGGCAAAGTTCCTGGGTAGAGATTTAATGATATCATGTGTAATATAAATGTAGGCATTCTTATGTGATTTGTTCGCACATATTACATTATGTGCAAATGATATCCCGCTCGATCGATATTTGTAAAACCTAAATTTTCTATTCTTAATTGCTTAGTAACCGTCAAACATTTGCACCTGCCTGTATCTGTATTGCGCATGACCGTACGCCTCTGCTGATAGTTATGTTACGCAAACAACGAAGAACTGCCTTATTTGCTTGAAGGTTTCATTAGGATTAAGCCAAAATATATGTTATTTTCAGTAGAAATATGGTACACAATGCGCTAGATAGCAGTGCATGTCTTCAGCAACAATATATTATTTGGGAAATAATTGATGTTTACTTACTTATATACACCCCCGCTGTTTTGATAACTCTATAGCATTGTGCTGCATTTTGCTGTGTTTGTTTCATTTATTGACAAAATCTGCCGTAATAATATATGTTCTAATAAAATTTGCCCTTAAAAGCCTGGGGAAGCCAAGGGTTGCTTATGAACTGTCAAAAACAGATTTATCAGTCTTTTATGCCTTAAATCTTAATTGTTTTTTTTTCTCGCAGAAAACATTATTTCGTTAAATTAAAATCGCCATGGCATGGGATCATAAAATTATTTTGTAGATGAAAATAGTAATAAAAAAGTTGTTTGCTTAAAAGAAATCAGTAAGCTGTTAGTTTCAATTCTAAATATATTTTAGTATAGTGAAGTTTTATTCAAGGATCCGTATACAAAATGAATTGTCGAGCAAATGCGCGTGCACCTACGAAAACGAAGTAACGTAAGAGTTGTAAGGTTAAATTTTAGCTTCATTCATCTGTCAGACTATGAAATTAAAAATGTCCTTTTACAATGGAACTCTCCAATGGAGTTCAACAGATGAAATATAATGTATATGCTCGATTAATATCAATTTTGATAACTGAAAACACGAAAGTAATTAAATCATGTAGTGGAAAATCTGGTTTGAACACTGTAACTTCAAGGAGTTGACTTGAATCAAGTCTTTGAAATTTACAATAATAAGTATCCAATTAGGTTAAGTGTATAATGTCCTTGCTTGTCGAGAAATTATGTTACTAAAGCAGTAAGTTTGACCTCCTCCTAAAATTACTGATGAATTAGTCAGTTAGAATTTCGTTAATGGCACAATATTGCTCTTCAGACCGGCTAAGAATTAAGAGTAGACACAGACAGTTCATTTTGTGTGGGAGAATATATGGGTTATAGGGATGAACTACTCCTGTTACAATAAGTGTTATATTAAGTATATTTAACCCAACAGATTCTTTATGGCCTTATATTTCATCCTGCGGAGTATATATATAAGGGGTAAGGGTCCCTAGGGGTGCCTGGGGGTTAGGGTATACAGAGCACATGCCAGAAGGGTAGCGAACCCCTCTGACCTTATTAACCTGAACCAAGGGGTAAGGGTCCCTTGGACAGTTCCTATAACTTGACTGATTATATTTACATTGAATTGCAAATTCCGCAAAATTAATATTTTGACAACCTTATAATAGTATGGGTGATTTGGGTTCTTCTTGTATCTCGATCTATCACAAAATTATTCTGAAAAGTAAATTTTCTGCAAGGCTGTTTTTAAAACCATTTTAAAAATGGCTTGCGCACAAGAACGTATGGTTTAAAACGCAATTTGAATTTTCATAGGGTACAAATTTGGAAGGTGTTTTATGAACTATCAAAGTACTAGATAATTTGATGCACATTAGTCTAACGGGCGAGGCGTAATAGCCTTTCACGCATTATTAAACTTTTTGTGAAGATATATGTAAGAAATCAATCATGCATATGAAAGCTGCATGCTATGGGAAAGATGCATGTCCAAGTTTAGACGCGCGTTGTACTTGATATAAATCAAATTGTCTGGTACTTTGATAGTTCTTAACTACCTTCCAGATGTAATTGCTCACACTCATATCACATACTCGAACCGACCTGATCGCGTACTCCGTTGGCAGAGCATTGGGCTAGTATTCCAGAGGTCGTAGGTTCGATTCCCATCGTGGCCAGGCATATTTTTCAAGCTTACCGGTGTGGATATACACTCAGAGTAACATCACAAACATCAGCTTATTATTGATACTATAATGAATTGCTGAATCTTTTAATGAATATTTATAATGCAGGGCGTCGCGAGGGGATGACGATTGGGGGGTTGAACGTCGAATTGCCGAGTACTTTGCCATTCCACAACTTTGCCATTCCACCCAACAAAGTAGATCGTTGTGCCTTCCTTGTCCCGTTTGAAATGTTACACAGAAAGTTAAAGACGAACAAATTTCTTCATCATCGGGATATTAATATCCAACCCTGGTCAAAACCAAGTTGAAAGATATCGCGCTCTCTGGCTACCGCAGTTACAGCCGACCTGATTTCTTGTTTTCTAAGGACGATTTGAAAACACTCGATGATTTAAAGAAGGACAAAAACATCGTTCTAACAATTCAATACTCCCACTCAGTACAGGTATGTAGACGGAGAAAAAAAGATTAAGAACAACAGTGATAAAAGCTGCAGAGTGGTTGCAGTCTCGTATAACTCGTCCATCGTGACTACGGTTGAAAGGTGCCAAGGGCAAGGCATTATTAAGGTATACTTACATCTAATATTTGCGTAAATATAAGGATTCTAGCTGGAAATAGTTATCATACGTCTCGGCTTAAAATTGCCTTAAATAAGCTGCAGTTCAAATGAGTCACGAACAACTCGTACAGTCAAGTTTCATTAATTAAGTAACAGATTATTTTTGACTAGCTTTTGTACCTGAGCATATTAGTCCCTCAGATCCTATAATAAAGAAATATACAAACATCCTCCAGTCATTTAACCTCACCCAGCTTATTTTTCACCCTGCTCGGTTTCCTTTGTTCTTATCGAGGAATATATTCAATATTCCCCTCTAATCAATTTCCGTTTAATAATCCCCTCTAATATTCACCTGCAATGTCCTTGCAGCACAAAAAATGAGAAAAAAACAACATAACGAAGGCAATATGGCATTAAGAATTATTTCTATTCTGACTCATTAACGCGACCTCGAAAAATAAGTACGTTATTTTGAGGCACCTCGGGGATATGCGCGCCTCGGTGAATAAATCACATATCCCCGGCCTCGTTGCCTCAAAATAACCTATACATATCTCCAAACCTACAAGAACAACAGCTACCTCCAGGACTCTCATTGACCAAGGGTGTTTAAGGTTTCAATTTTTTCATCAGGTGACTCAAGGGATTGAATGTCAATTGGGACTTTTGTCCTATAATGTCCTGTTTTCATTCCCTGCCAGAAACTGCAACTACTGTCTGTAATATGTTTCGTATGTAATCTGTGGTAAATCTATTAAACTAAACTAAACGCATATATCAGGTTTAGTGGAGGTGTGATAAAATCCTGTATATATTCCGATTCATAAAAGGACTTTTCATTTCGGATATACTTGTATCTAGGGACACACCTGGAGATACGTACATTGACAGTAGTATAGACTGCATCATGATCACTGATCACATCACATGGTAGGACATCTGTATGTGTGATTTTAGTTGGGTTTTTTGATATCAGGTGTCCAGGACCACATACACTGTAAATGTTCTCAATATGCGGATGATACTACCCTGTATCGACATGGAAAGGTTGGTGATCTAGGGAAGGATGACGTAGGATGTTATAGATATGAACGAAAATATTGAGATCCTTGGCCGTTACTCAATTGATTCAAACCCGGCAGTTAACAAGGACAAAACCAAGTGGATGCTGGTCAGTACCCCACAACTGGATCGAGTACATTCACTTGATGAGAAACAACTGTTTTTGAGCTATAATGGTTCCAACTTAGAACGGATCAGGGTCAAGAAATTACTGGGTGTCTACATGGATAATCATCTGTTATGGAATGAACATGTTGTCATGACTTTATCATCCTGTTATAGTACTTTGGCAGTATTAAGAAAATTTCGCCACACTGCTCCATTACAGATAAGAAAACAACTAATCGAGTGCTTAAACTTCTCTAAATTAGACTACTGTAGTTTGGTCTTAAATTATTTACCTGTCTATCAGGTAAAACGCTTACAACGTTTGCAGAATGCATGTGCAGCTTTTGTACTGGGTAAATACGCTAATATGAACGAAGTCCTTAAATTCAGGTGGTTGCCTGTGCATGAAAGAAGAGAGCTAAATCTTCTCAAGCTTGTTCATAAATCATTGTATGTGACTGTACCTGAGAAGCTTACGCCTGTATTCTAAAAGCTCACTCACACTCAATGAGTGGTGGTTCAATCTGAGCTTCTCTTGAGTGTCAATGCTGTATTTAATAGCTGGAGGGTGAGTAGTCACATAGTAAGGTACGAAACTAGCCCTTCAGCTATTCAAAAACAGCAATGACACTCGAGAGAAGCTCAGATTCAACTGTGAGTGAGCTAGCTTTTAGAATACGGGCGTTAAACTACAACTCCATGTTGTTTATAATAACTACAATTTAAGATCTGCTGCGGCTCCTTTAATATATATTCCTACTAAGGAACAAGGCACATTTCAGGACATGGCTGCTAGAACTTTTGATCGGCTGCCTGCTGACATTAGAAAAATTGAACATCATTCAACCTTTGTCAACGCAATCAAGGCCGACCTCTTCTCAAAAGCCAAAGTTCGCCTTGAATAATGTAGTTTTTGTATAGTGCAAATATTTTCATATATATTGTAGTCTCTATTTTAATATTTATTATATTGTAATCGTAGTTAGTTTTATTTAGCAGGTGAAGAGCCACACCGTGGAAGTACTTCTAATAAATCATTATTATTATCATTATTATTATTATTTCAAATATTATTATTATTACGAATATATTGACCTATTACGCGAAATAAAATCGCGAGGTCAATTTATTCGTAATAAGCTCAGAGGAAAAAAACTGATCAAAAATAATCTGCTACTTGATGAAACTTGACTGTTTGTACGAGTTGTTCGTGACTCATTTAGGCTGCAGCTTATTTAAGGCAATTTAAGCCGAGACGTATGAGAACTATTTTCAGCTAGATTGTGGACGACTCAAATCATTGCTCTTTTACATGCCTCAAATGTCAGGGCTTTAAGCCCCTCTTTTTTCACGGGGCTTAACTCGAACTTTCCAAGTTGTGTTTCTTTCTTCGAGTTAAGCCCTTGACGAAAATGGGTGTGGTTTGGGCGTGGTCGGGGCTTAACTCGAAAAGGGCCTAACTCGAAGATTACCTACCTCGATCAAAAGTACATTTGCATCGCTATTCAGAAATTATGAGAATGTCAACCAAAATAACACATCCCAAAGACTATGTAAAACTTCGGTAGTTTTGATTCAATTTGGCATTTGCTAAACAATTACCTATATGTTTTGATATATGCATGTTTAATAGATATCTTTGTTAACGCAAGTCATAACTGAATATTCGCTCGTTTTCGTTGAGCTGTGCATGTTTATGACGCGCTCAAAGTTTACAAGTTATCTTGGGCTCAGAAAAACCGGACTCTGATCGTCTTAATGATAAATAACAACTTTTTAATGATATATTAAATTAATGATATTATCAATATCATTTGATAAGCACTACTAGCTTCAGCAAAATTTGGAGAAAGCACTGCATGGTAAGGGACATCTGCCATCCGTCCTCTTCACGCTTACTTGGAACAGTGTTGCAACAGGAGGAATCCTAAACTAAATTTTATTTCTTTACACTGAATCGTTTTTTTATCAGTTCTGAACTGTTCTCTCTGGAGGAATTATATTGTTCCAAAGTTAGTACAGGAAGTAAGTACCCGGAGAAAACCAACCTCGTCCCCAGGGTCTTCCACCACGAGGAAGACCCTGGGGACGAGGTTGGGAGAAAACTTGTGGTGGGAGATGAAACTGGTAGTATTCCTCGCACATGAACTTAATTATGCAGAAATATTGAAAACCGATGTGAAACGCTCGTTTACACTTGCAATTTTTGATGGATGTGAACGAGTAAATAAGTTATAAATGCTCTGCATGAGTAGTATACAGCTATTTCAGTTAATTAAGTCGAATACAAGTGCGAAAGGCTTGCTGGGAATCGCTAAAAAAATAATGAATTTTCCGCTTTGCTCGTGGATAACCTTAATTGAAATAGCTGTATGAACATTCCTAACTCATCCATTCGTTCACATACATCATGAGCAGAAAATCGCATTTATAATCGCAGCAAAAATTGTAAGTGCAAACGAGCTTAAAGGTGTATGCAGGAATGGACGTGCACTGACCAGCGTGTGCCGCCCCATTTTCAATAAAATAACAAAGGAGAATTAAGCCATAACGTGATATTATATTTGAATATATCATACATATAGTGTTTGCAATGCCGGCATTTTTAGAAGCCGCTCAACGGCTATAGAAGCTCAGTTTACAGTGCTCATTTTACTGCAATCCCAAAATTTACTTACTGCAACAAAGGTAAACTTTAACTCGAGCTTTAACTTAGAGAAAAAAAGATCTGCTCGAAAAAATATTACTGCTGATTACTGTTTATTCAGCTCATCCATTATAACTTAAAGTTTAACAGAACCGAGGCTAAATTTGTCGAGATCTCGCATGTGACTCAACCTCCTTGAGGATAACCGCAAAATGCGACATTGTAAACTAGCTTCGTTACACAATAGTTTTACATTCTTGTGCATATCAAGTAAAATATGTACCACTATACAATTTCCAAATAAGCGATTCTACATGCAGTTATTAATACAGAAACTGTTCAGATGGGCAAATATTTATATTACTTACGTTTAAATTAAATAACAACATAAACAATAATCAATATATATGCTCAGTTTTTAACCTCTGGTATGGGGCACTTTTTGTTGGAGCTTCATTTGAGGAATAAGTAAGTCAGTCATTCTGCGCAAGAATGTAGTGATATTTAAACAAAATGAACCTATTTACTTTAGAATTGTTTTGCTTAAACTGCATTGTTTTTGATTTCGTTAAATAATCTTTGTGGGACACACTTTTATCGAGTTTCATTTAGGGAACAAGTAAGTTATCATTCTGCACCAGCTAGCGTGCAAAAGTTTGGTTCTGTCACGTTTGACATTAGTTCCATGTCCATGACTGTATGTTTTGTTAGAACCGTAAAATTAATTTGTGAAAGCCATTTTAGAGCGTCGTGTAAGGGTAAAATGGGAGCTGGGATTTGCCTGCGAAAATGGAGTTTGACCACTGTGATTTGCACCAGTAATTTTCCTACTGGTATTCAGACAACATTTTGGCTGGGAGAATGGGATTAACCCCCCCCCCCCTCCCTTCACGACCCTTGTAGATCCAATGCATGGGTTTGGCTCGACACGAAATACTCATCCCAGTGTCGGCCATGCTGTTTATGTTGCTACTATATTAAAATAGTTGTTAAATATACTAAAATATAATACACTAAGATTTCTTCCATTAAATATATACTATAGTGTTGTTAACCTGCCATGCAATACTGATCTACAGTATTCAGGGATCATCTTTTTGTTTATCGTCTTCGTTTTTTATGTTTTGTGGAGAAAGCGACTAATATTTTGACCGCTAATATACCCCTACTGCCGATATACCCGTACTGCTTCTCAATTCAAACTTTGCCATTGATTATCCTATTCCATTTTTACAGTAATATTATAATACCTGCTGTACATTTTATGTACACTGGTTTATAAACCAGTTGCATGAAATGATACCATGCTAAAAAGACATTATGTCACCAGGACACAAAAATATGCACTGTTCTTGAATATTTCATAATTCTGTCTCTAAATCTTGTTCGACTTCTCCTTTACGTCTTGAAAAGAAACCTTTCTTTGATGGAAGTGGCCCGTGAAGCATCGGGACTTGGTTAAAATGTGAGATTTTTATCTAAAGAAATAACGCAGTTGTTTCCAGGTCCAGAATACAAGGACTGCAAGCGTTAAACTAGAATGTAAACCTGTCAATGAAGTGTTGATCATTGCAACACTCTCAAATTTCCAGTCCATACTATTTACAAGATTTACTGCTTATAAAACAATGAAACAAAACGCTGAATGCGCGTGTTAGAAAAAGAGTAAAAACCTTAATGTATCGTACTTCAGATCATCTATGTTTTGAGTCAATTGAACGATGCAATGTTGGTGGTTATCGTAAGGTGGTACAGTCACATTATACTATACAATTCTGGTAGTTAAACTCGTCACAATGGAATAAAAACAAAGATTAGAAAACAGTAAACACTCACTGTCGCTGGAGCCTGCAACCAAGGTTCACCGTCAATTTGTATTGGGAACAATTTCTTAGTTCTAAAGCAACAAGAACAAAGTAAATTCAACCTCTTTAAGTATAGGTAATCATGCGATAGCGAGTACAATTAGGGATTAATAGTACGAGTGATGTTTGGAAATTTTGCCAAAATTGGACGAGCCGTTACTTGTTTATTATTAGCATGACAAAATTGGATAATTCTCAATGTCAACATCATATTCTCTCACCAAAGCCCAGTCCTGCCAGATGTTCAACCAAAATTTGGTGCTTTTGTTCGTATTTTCATTTAGTTCTTTTGCTCTAAGTTCCTCTAAGGCAATTTCATTTGTGTTTAAATACCTTTCTGCCATTTTGTTTGTTTTGAGAAAATCATTAATTGTACTGCAGTACAATTAATGAAATAATTGTACTCCTCTCAACCAATCAGCATCCAGTAATTTTGTCACGCTAATAATCAATACAGTATAATTGCATTGTTCACATTGCAAGTGAAATGTTTTTGCTTAAATTTAGTGACAAATGTAACTTTATAAATATAATTTATGCAGTAATAAATTTACGTGGTGTTTCCACAAAGAAAAAGTAATAAATGTAACTTACATTATAGTAATATTGGAACATTGGGCTAATCTTAGCGCGTGCGCTCTCACACCAGCAATGATTTGTCCCACATAGAGAGCATTTTCAAAACCAACAACTTCAATTAGACCATCTCCGATATCTAGAGTGGATATTAATTCATTGAATCAATGCAATAATCAATTTTCTGATCGAACAATTAACCTGCAAATAACTACGTTGCAATTAATGAACGGTCTGTGCCAGTGTAGGTAGTGCCGATAATTTCAGAATCTTTCAACTTCTTGATGACCACGTGGCCGTCTTCCTTGGGGTTTGCACTTCGACTCTTCGCCAAAATTACCATACCAAATGAGCCATCTCCAATCGTTCTCTCCTCTGATATCTCCGCCCACCGAAAGGTGGAAATATTCTTTCCAACAGAGAGAAGAGGCATAGAATTTTTGAAATCACGGTAAGATTTACAGAAAAGATAAGAGAAAAGAAAGAAAATAAAAGAAAGGTATAAAATATATTATAAGACAAATTCCCGTTCCGTTTCGCAAATTCCCGTTTCGTTTCGCATAGTACCATTTCGTTTCGCAAAGTACCGTAAGCCCATTTCAATTAATTTTTCAACGGTTGAAAAAATCACTATCCGGTGAGAGCACTATCCAGCCTTCGTACAATTGCCCCTAGTATGACTGAATCTTGAAAGATAAACAATACAAATTCTACAGTACCTTGTTCAGCCCAGTCGTAATCATCTTTTCCATTACATTTTGCTTTCTTATTTTTCTTTCTTGCTTTCTTTTTATCGACTTCTCCCCACGGATTTGTTCCGCCAGCATAACTTGGGATATTCAGAATCGCAATACCTTCTAAACTTGGACCATTTGCCAGGTTTAATGGTTTACCATCGCACTAAAAGAATAAATTATATACAGTAGTTCA